AAAAATTCTTCTTTGCAAGCCTTCTGGTACAAATACCTCTCATCAGGTTGAGGAATCATCTGCAGATGGTCTGGTAGACCACAGACCATCTGGAGACACTTCATCAGCCTGACGAAGGGCATTTGTACCCAAGAGCTTGCAAAGAATTTGTCCAATGTATGACTTGATCTAATAAAAGGTATCAGATTTACCCAAAGAAACTTGGCTGCCTAAGTACCACCAGCAAATTTTTCAGTTCAACCTTAAGTACCACCAGGAATTTTTTGTCATATAAAGTAATTATAATAAATCTGTTAAAGTGCACTACTGACAGTATGTCTGTGTACCGCTGGTTTTACATGTTCCACAGGTTGGGAACTGCTGGTTTATGCCATTAGTCAATTAATTTTTGTGGTCTCATTCTGTTGATTATCTATATTGCAAAACAAAGACATACTTTCTTGAATAGATCCCAAAAACTATTATACTTCATAACAGAGTGATTGTAGATAAAAATGAGGGTATTTGCTGCTGTATGAGGAACTTAGTTCAGCACAGAGTGTTTCATATGTTTGACTTAAGCCGTTATTCTACAGGAAATGCTAATCACGTTTTGAAAATTAACACACTGTCTTCCAAGATACACATATCTTCTCTAATGCTTCCAATGCTGTATTCCACCCAGTGTCACCAAATTATAGAGATCACAAACAGGAAAAGCTATTGAGGATTCACAAGTGCTCCTTGGAGTATATTCCAAATTTTTTTTACTAGGCTAGTTTAATCTTTTATGTATACTTGCAAATGCACATACCTCTAAGTTCTGTATTTCACAGATTTGCCTTCTATTCCACATGAAGAAAACAAGGCCACTATTAAGGAATACATAAGAAAGTCAAAGAGAGACTCTGTTCACAGGAAAATTTCCACTAGTTCATGGAAATATGGATAAGCTTAATTAGTGAGTTTAGTAAAAGTTAGAGAAAGATAACTTTTGATAAGTTTTCAGTTGCATGTTCTCAACTGTATTTTTCACTGCAGTGTCTTCAGAACTTGTAATTCTACAATATAGTAGTGAACCACATTATTAAAGGTTCCTTTTAAATAAAAGGAAATATTATACTTCAAATAATATTAATTTTTAAATTTCTGAAAGTCAGAACTAGCTAGCTCCATAAATTACATTTCTGCTTAGTATATCTGAGGTGTATCCATAGAACTGAGGTCTTTGATTGATGTTTCCATTGTAATAATTTTCAGAGCTGAAATAAAAAGAAAATTTGTCTACAGAGGAAATACAAAATATTTACCATTCACTCTTAATTAGAAGTTACATCCCTCAAACATACTCAGAATTATGTCTTTTATAAAGTGTAGGAAATAATTTAGATCCATGGATGAAATATATTAAAATGCCTTTGTTTAAAATGGAGGTATGCTTTCTACTGTTATCAGATAGATTTTTTTTTAATGAGCAAAAAGTTAATTATAAAAAATGGAAGTGAAATGTCTCAACAATTCGTATTGGTAATGAGTTCTCTTTCTGAAATCAATAAAAGTACATTTTATTTTTGAGAATTATCTAAGAGTTTTTAAGAATACAAGGCTTAACATAGGCACAAATTTTACTTTTGTTAAAAGGTAACTCCTAAATTCTTAGACTGAACTTCTTCAGTGTATCTCGTGCAAATTTTCATACTGTAGGAACAAAATTTGGACTGATCTTTCTTTAAAAGAAGTGTTTAGATCGTAAGTGGATAGAAGGTCATTCAGCTTCACACACTATAAGATGAACTTTTCATATTTGTGTTAAATCACTTTTGCATAAAGGCTGTTCACAAATAGAATGAAGCAAATCGAGACATTACATCGGATGTTACCTAAAATCACTCCATAAGGTAATACAGAAACATGTGCAAATAACTGTTCAGTTTAGAAGATATTGCAGTTTCTGACTCTGACACATTTTTCTGTGAAACTACACATATTTGTAATACATGAAAATATAACCCGAATAAATTATATATTTAAAACACTGCAATGGTTTCCTTTCCTTCTTTTTTTTACCCTTTTGGGTGCCTACACAATTTTTAAAATCTTGTGATTTGGTGTTTTGCTTCAGAATATGAAAGCAAACTTTTTCTGTTGATTGTATATAAAATAGTACGAAACTTTACGTTATTTTATTTTTTTTATTTCATTCAAAGACAATATTTTGCACTACAAAATAACATATGAAGTGTGCTTCGGAACTGTTTTGCAACTCATGCTACTACAATATCATTATCATAGTTTAGATATTGGTATATTTAAAGAAAAATACTGTGGACTTTAATATTTAGAATATGTGGGCATTGCACATGAAGTTTGGGAACCTTCTGTAATATTTCAAGAGTTTTTTTGCTCCCTCCCACGTGGCCCATCTGTTCATGTTGGATGAGAGCAGTATGTAAGAAGTAGTATATACATACTTCGTGTGGAGAAGATAACAGAATGTACCATGGATGATGCATTTCCTCTAAAATATGAGGAGAGGAGGGAGATGAAAAACAATGTTGGGTTTTCTGGGATTTAAGGAAACTCCTAGTCTGTAGCTTCTGTTGAATCAAACTCTAGTGTATCGTAAGTCTCCTCTTCAGTCAAGGTACAACTGCAGCACACACCAATATAGGACTATAACTGTGGCAGCACAGAGCAAATTGTAGTCTGAAATACCTACCTCAACCCTCTCCCCAGTGTCCCTTGTTCTAAAAAGATGGGTAAAACTGGTAGCCTAAATTAAGCTTCATTCAGAAACAGCTACTCTGCTATTAGTACCTAGGTTACCTAGTTTAAAGCTATATAAACTGCAGTCACACCTTTGACTGAAATGTAGGCATACCCTAAAAGTAGTCCTAGTGTATACATAGAAAATATCAGTTGTGCTTGTAGACACATATTGGTATAGGAATAATTTTAAAGATGGTTGTTATGGGTTTTTTTTCCTTAAGCTAGCATGTTTAGAATGAAGAGCAAGGCTTTAGAGATGAAATAGAAATAAGTTGAACATAAAGTCTTAATAATATTCTCTTACAAGTTCATGTTGGCTATGTTAGTTTTTTTCTCATTCTGATTAAAGCCCATACCTTCACACTTTATGACCATGCTACTTATTATAATATCAAAGTGTTTTGCCCTTTCCCTCTCTTTCTGCCGATCTTTATTTCAATGGTATGAGTCTCTTACCTGCTTTATATCATGCATAGAACTCTTGTTTCATTGATTTATATGTAGTTATTTATGATGTCAAAAAACTGCTTTAAGGCAGTATAAATGTTCCAGGATTAAATACTCCAGACTAAGAAAATAACAACTTTTTCTTTGCGTATTTACTTTCTACTTACTATAGTATCAGAATGTATACACATACGCACGTATGTGTTATTATTTGTCTTTATTTAACTATGTGATCATATTTTTTTCTAGTAGGGCAATATTATTTGTTGTCTCAAAAATTAAAAACATGGGGGGGGATTTTATGTTCTTTGCATATTAGAAAGGATCCATCCATTTTCATTTATACAAGATGTACAACAAAGTCATGATACAAAACCTCCCAGAAGTCTATGAGAAGCTTTCCCTTGACTTCCATGGGTTTTAGATTGCTCTCTGCACGCTACACAATAACCAAAAATGAGGCAAGAGCTCCTGAATGAATGAGACCTTGGTCTAAAATTTCTGAGGAGCTAAGCATTTTGGAAAGGTACTGATCACTCTCAACTCCCGTTCAGCATAGTAGGAGCCAAAGTTATATAGCACCTGACAAAAGTGGGCTCAGAACTCTAGATGTTGTTTCTTTGGGCTCAAACTAGAGAAAAGTGTCATCATAAAAATAAATCAACCTGTTATTGTGCCGTAATCTCTCATTATTTACACTGCCTATCCTTAGTTTTTCAGTATTTGCTGAGTTGGAAAAAATGGGTCCTCCACATTTTCAGGGGCCTGAATGGGTCAAAGGCTTTGGCTTCATTCAGTTGGCTCCAGTGGCAAATTTTAGATTTCATAGTCCAGTGGGACAACACCTGTCCACCAGCCTTATTATATTTAAGCTAGATAGTTATTGGCTCAAACATCCCAGTTTATCTTAACTATTGTAGAAAATCAGAGAGATGTTTTAGGCTCTAATTCAGTAAAGCATTTAAGAATGTATTTAAATCCAATTGGTTTTAATGGGTTTAAAATACGTTTTAAGTTATCCACTTAAATGCTTTTCTGGGTAGTGATAAAATGACATACATTAGAATTAAATACATACTTCAATACTTCCTGAATTAAGGTTTAGACAGTGAAGGACCAGGTCCAGCTTTGTAGACAAAAATTAAAACATTGAATTGCACCTGAAATGACTAGGATGTCAGCAGAACTGTTGATAAATAGGTACAACACATTTCTGTTGGTTAACTCTACCCAAGAATTAGGCAGCTCTGTGTAATACATACATAAGAGAATATACTATGTTGAAAGTTGAAACACTTCTTATTGGCTTCTGGGCAACTTTGTAACTTCAGTAGTAGAAAGAGGGAGTTAGGCACATTAATCTGAAGTTATACAGAAGGCAGTGTAAAGATGTACCTTATAGACTAACTGAATCAAAGATGGATAAATTTCTGACAGCGAGGGCATGCTTCATCAGATGCCGGCATCTTGCTCATGAGAGCTTATGCAGTCTGATTCAGTTAGTTTTTAAGATGCATCTCTTCTCAGCCTTCTTCAGTGGTAGATTGCACTGATAACTTAAAAAAGATTATATATGTATAAAAAAATAATTCTTTCAAGTATACCATTACAGAAAATGAATTTTACAGCTTATCTTGCAGATGATGACTGTAGTTCCCTAGTGGGAAATAAAGTTGTTCACATAAAAAGTCATGCTCCATTTGTACCTCACCATGCAAAGGGAAGAAAATCCCTTAGGCAATTTTTATCTGACTTCATTGCTTTAATGAACGTGTGTACAATAATCTGTCTGTCTCTAATTCCAATAGAAATACCACCTGTTGAAAAACTAAACTTAACGGAACTGCTGGAGTCCAGCTTGGATTTGTCAGATGAGTGGCCTAATGAAGAAGAAAGGCTGCGATTTCAGAAACTCAAGGAGGAAATTATAAAAGATGACCAGGAAGAATTTCTTGCAGACCAAGATTTAGGCCCTAAAGCCACAATGCAGAAATTTACTGAACTAGGGAAAGGGAATGGAATAAAGGAAAGACTACACTACAAATCTACAAGTCTTTCCAGGTGAAAGAAAACATCTTAGATTTTTCTTTATATATTTAACTTTTATATAATAGTTTACAGGATAGAATACTATATGTATCTTGCAGGTGCTGGAAAACCAAATGTCTAATACAGTCATTTTAAAACATTTTACCATACGTTCCATCTATACACAGAAATTAAGTGATTGATATGTTAGTGAGGCTCATGACAAATTAATCTAGAAAATAAAAAGACCTTAAACTAAAATGAACTCAATTTTCTCCAAAACCAGAAAATAAGAAATGCTCTCAGCATTGTAATTATGAGGAACGTATATATTGAAGTTGAAAATTATGATTAAAGGAATAAGGAGAAAGTGGCCAAATCAGCTTTCAGAGGACTATTTTTAGCTTGTATATCTGTACCACCATGTAGATGGAAAAAAAAAACTTCCAATTTATATTTGAATGACTGAAGTCTTGGAATTACCTTGGAAACATATTTTATGGAAAGGAGTTCAATCTGTTAATGCTGGGGTGTCAAACTCACTTTGTACACCAGGCCAGATCCAGATTGTGGGACTTCTTATTGGCCAGATCTAGCCCAGGACATGAGGAAGTGTGTGTGTGGGGGGGGCCTCTGGCTCCAACAGGGAACATGTGGCAGCATTTCTGGCTCTCAATGTGGAACACACAGCTGGGCCAGCAACTGGGGAGGTAGGGTTGTGCCAGTGACCATGGGCAAAGCAGCCAGAGGGCAGCCAGGACTCTCAGCCCCTGCTCACCCTCCTGCTGCCAATCACCATGTCCACTGGGGCTCAAAGGCCCCAGATTGTGCAGCTGACCACTACCCACTAGCCGCACCAATTTACAGTGGGCTGGATAGAGTGGCTGCACAAACTGGACCCGGCCTGCCAACCGTATGTTTGACCCTGCTGTGTTAATGCATATTACTAATGCATACTAATGAATGTTACATCCATTGTAAATTACTTAATATTGCAATTATAGCAAATAAGTAAAGGTAAGTAAGGGGTAATACGTTATATAATGTCATTTGTGTTGCTGTTTTTGTGATTGATAATTCACAGTAGACTAAACAATGTAAGACTGGTATTTTGTAAAAATATGAGTCCTGGTTATATGAACCATTGCCAGAGGAGCTGGCTATTGATTTGGGGGTGGGGGAGTAGGGGAGGGATAAAAATGAGAGAGATACTTTCTGTGCAAATTACTAGATCTGCAAATTAGGAATTTTGTAAAACATTTTTGTCTTCAGTCACTCTGATGTTTTGTTAATGTGTACAGTCTTATGGGTAAGTGCAGATCTAAGAATTATGGGTGATTAGTATTGCTTGACTGTTTATAATTTTGAAATTAAAAATCAGGAATATTTTTACTACAATCTTCAGACCTAATAGAGCTAGTTGATTCTTCTTTATTTAGTGTCGACTTTTCAATGAAATTTCCACAGTTCTAATAAGAATATAAATAAATGTTTATGGTCTATTTTCCCTTTTTTGACCAACTTTTGTACTAAATGAACCACTGCTTTTAGTTAGTACGTGGAGGTAGAAGGCAGACTTTCTCTGTCCTTCCTATACACAGCTTTGCACAGCCTTTCACAGCATCTGATGAATGAGCTTCAATGAAAGCTTTTGTTACACACACACACAGCACAAGCTTTCATTGAAGCTCATTCTTCAGATGGGCCAGCATCAGATATATAAATATATATATATGAAGAATGAGCTTCAATGAAAGCTTGTGCTATCAGTGTGTGTGTGTGTATACTAGTATACGCATACATATATATTAAGGGTGTGCAAAGCAGGCCCTATTCGATTTGGATTTAGATTCGGCCCAAATCAGGGATTTGTTGATTCATATCACTGTACCCAATTAAATGTGGCAGAATCTGAATCTGAAGATTTGATGCCGAATCAGTGATTCGGACGTAGACACAGCTTTAAATGTTTTTCTGCATACTTCGAGGTACTAGCATGGCTTGTGAATGCTGCAATGCTGGGGCACATGGTGTATCCCACAGGAGTGCGGGGGACCCTCCATATGCTTGGCGGCAAACGCAAAGCCCCAGGTCTGCCGGAGAGCACACTGGGGGCCCCCCTACACCCCTCCAGCTTGGCGATCAGCCTCGGGGGGACCATGGGTGCTCCCCCAGACCCAGAAGGCACCAGTCGCTGGCTGGGTGAGCACAGGGGGGCACCCCTATGCGCTCCACAGCAGACCTGGACGTGAACCAGAAGTGCTTCTAGTCCACTTCCAGATCTGCTGCTGAGCACACTGGGGAGCCCCCCATACTCTTATGGGATGCTCCATGTGCCCCAGCATTGCAGCATTCACAAGCCGTGGTGGTACCTTGAGGTATATAGAAAAAAACGTTTAAAGCTGTGTCTATGTCCAAATCTTTCCCAAGATTAAAGGGTCCTCTGATTCGATTTGGTTTCAGAGATTTGGCCACCATATCAAGCCGAAATTCACAGCCCTGATATGTATATATATCAGGGCTGTGCAAAGCTTTGGGTACAGATTTGATTTGGAGGGGATTTGGCCTGATTCAACCTCCAAATCAAATTGAATTCAGAGACCAATAAAAAGGTTCGAATTGATTCAAGGCCTTCAAATCAATTCAGAGGAAGTTTCAGAGATTCAGCAATTTTGGGCAGTCCCCGCTTGCTGCCAAAGGGAGCTAGACCCAGGCTTCATGCCGGTATGTGGAGGGGGGGACCCCCGCCAGGCCCCATACCCTGCCTGCTCCGCCAGACCCACTGAGCGCCTCCCAATCTCTGCCCACTCGCCCAGCCCCATCAATGGCTGCTCTGCCCAGCCCCAGCGTCCTGGCACTTAAAAAGAAAAAAAGGAAAAAGCCCCAAACTCACTGGCTGCTGCAGCAGATATCAGGGAATCTGGGGGCTTGTGGCAGAGCCCCCAGTGCAGCACAGGGCAGTGAGAGGCAGCGGGGATCATCCCCCCACACACACCCCACCTGCCTGACAGGAGCCGGTGAGTGCAGGGCTTTTTTTTTTACTTCAGACTAACGCGACTAACTATGTCTGTTCCTATATGGAAGTATAATTTATAAACTGTGGTTAGTTTATAAAAAGTAAACACTCCTCTTGTTGTATAATTTTCCTTTTCGTACTGTTATTATAAATTGCTTAACTGCCTGAACATTCCTATATATTGCTTGGCTAAAAATGTAGTCTTATTTATTAGAGTAGCCGGGGCAATGTTCTATTGCACTACATGAACATGAGGACAGGTAAGGATATAGTTTCTTTAATTCAGAGTTAGAGAAAACAGACTACAACAGCATCAGTTACCTTGCATTGGAAAATCTGTTAAATCTGTTGCTCATGTAGGTAGGTCACAAGAATTCTAGTATACTGTGTTTAAACATATCTGTAGTTTTCCTTATGTGACAGAACCTGAAGGTGGCAGCCTATATTCATTTTATATGCTGCAAATTAAAACTACTGCTCAGAAAGCTTAAACTTGCACTCCTTCCTTTCTTCATCATAGTTTCCATCTTCAGTCTATATATGCCTTGCAGTTAGGCTTTATCCTACCAGCTCCTCTTTCCTGGAAAGTAAAGGGTGTTTTGTGTGGCGAGAATTTACAATATTCCTGCTCTCTATATTACTTTTTCCATAGTGAGATTGGATCAAACTATTTTTAAGTGCCTGATTTAGCATGTTATTAAGTGTGTGACTGCCTTAAATTTCCTGTTGAAATCCGTAGGACTACTTGTATACTTAAATTCAGGGAGCTGATTGAATTAGGGCCTAGTTATACAGATGTCAGTGATTTGTTGCATCTACAAATATAGGTTAGAAACCCACACTGCTTTGATTCCTGCATTTTCTTGTTCTCTCTTTGATCAAGAATCAGAGCTGCCCAAAGATCTGTCTGGTGAATTTAGTTATCATAATCAATAATTGTATCACTCTACCTGTCTTTAAATACAGTATTTAAAAATCTGTAATGAATGGCCTTATTTTAAAAGGAAAAAATCCATGCAGAAGAATGTATTTCCTGAGTTTTCATCCCTTGATAAGAAGATACAGACAAAGCGAGCTGAAGAGTGCAGATTGGCAGCACAGAAGCAGATGAAAGAGAAACTGGCTTTAATTGAACAGCAAAGAAAGCAAGTATTATTTTTGCCTTATATCAGTGCACTATTTTTGAGTTGTTGCTCTTCTTCTTAGCACTGTAGCTCTTTTCCCCTCATGATTCACCCAGTTTTCCATTTATAAAGAAAGAAATCATTACAAATTATCTGGACTGTAAATAGAAATGTAAGGAGTGTTTTTTTTTTCTTTACAAAGCACAGTGCTCCTGGGGAACAAGAACATGAACTATTGCATTTCTTACTGCTGACTTGGAGAATCTGAGTTTCTGTTCTCATGTATTGGGAAAAATATTTCCCTTCATAACTCCATAGTCATAGGGGATATTATGCAAGTACTGAAATGACTTTTTTTTAAGCTTACTAACTGACAGCAGACTAACTGAACAGCAGTAAAACAGGCATATGATATATAAAAATGTTGACGTGCTTGCAGGATAAGGAATATGTAGATTTTTAAAAAAAGTTTCAAATGTAAATTGTTTCCATTTCTGCATATTAGTCTACCATATGCATACATTTAGAATCCTATTCAAGAGCCAACATACTACTGTCTGTGAAACTTACTCAAAAAATCAGATAATCATATTTTATGACATTATATTACATTTCCTAACAGATCCTACAACGTGATTTATACTTCCATATAATGGAGGAGAAACAACAAGAGGAAGGTCAGGGAAAGTGTGGGTCCTTACTGAATGGGGGAGGCAACCTAGTGGCAAAGGATGAGAAAAAGGCTTAAGTACTCAATGTATTTTTTTTATCTGAGTCTTCACAGGCAAGGTCAACTCCAAGACTATTGCAGTAGGCAGCACAGTTTAGGGAGAAGGTCAGCAACCCTCAGCGATGAAAGAACAAGTTAGGTACTGTTTAAAAAAGTTGAATGTGTACAAGGCCACGGGGCCAGATGCAATGCATCTGAGAGTGCTGAGGGAGTTAGCTGATGTGATTGCAGAGCCACTGGCCATTAAGTTTGAAAATTCATGGCAATCAGGGGAGGTCCTAGACAATTGGAAAAGGGCAAATATAGTGCCCATCTTTAAGAAAGGGAAAAAGGAGGATCCAGGGAACTACAGACCAGTCAGCCTCACCTCAATCCCTGAAAAATTCATGGAGTAGTTCCTCAAAAAATCCAGTTCTAAGCACTTGGAGAAGAAGAAGTTCATTAGGAACAGTTAGCATGGATTCACCAAGGGCAAATCATGCCTGATCAACCTGATTGCCTTCTTTGACAAGATGACTGGGTCTGTGGATGCGGGGAGTGCAGTGGATGTAATATATCTTGACTTCAGCAAGGCTTTTGATACCATCTCCCACAGCATTCTTGCAAGCAAACTGAGGAAGTATGGATTGGATGAATGGTAAGGTAAGATAAAAGCTGGCTGGATTGTTGGGCTCAACAGGTGGTAATCAGTGTCTAGCTCAGTGTCTAGCTGGCAGGCAGTATCAAGTGAAGTACCCCAGGGGTCGGTCCTGGGGCCGGTTTTGTTCAATATATTCATTAATCTGGACGATGGGATGGATTGCACCCTCAGCAGATTTGCAGATGACACTAAGCTGGGGGGTATAGGAGATATACTGGATGGCTAAGATTCAGAGTGACCTAGACAAATTGGAGGATTGGACCAAAAGAAATCTCATGAGGATCAACCAGGACAAGTGCAAAATCCTGTACTTAGGATAGAAGAATCCCATGCACCACTGCAGCCTGCCTGGGGACTGACTGGCTAAGCAGCAGCTCTGCAGAAGAGGACCTGGGGGTTACAGTATACAATAAGCTGGATATGAGTCAGCTATGTGCCCTTGTTGCCAAGAAGGCTAACAGAGGACTCTTCTCCCCCCGCAACTGCCTGCTTGTTGCAGGCTCAGGTGAGGTGAAGCCGGCTTGTCACCATGGTGCATACTCCTGTGGGGGCCTGTGCTCCCCAGATCTGTGTGCAGGGCAGGTGCAGGCTGCCTGCTGAGGGCTGAGGCTCCTGCCCTGCTGCCCTCCCTTGGGGCCTCCACAGCCCAGCAGGTGAAATCCAGCACCGCAGGGAACAGTGGGGCTGCAAGGGGATCTCCTTGCTGATGCAAGTTCCTCACTGACTTGGCAATGCATCCCTTGTATGCACGGTAGCAGCAGGGGTGGCATTGCAGGGATTTGCCCCTCGCTGCTGCATGTACAGGGGACATGTTGGCAGGGCAAACATGGAGCTCACAGCAGCAGGCAGCTTTTCTGTGCAGCTCCACTGTGCCCTGCAGTGCTGGGTCGCACCTGCTGGGCTTTGGAGGCCCTGGGGAAGGGCAGCAGAACAGGAGCCCAAGCTCACAGGAAATAGCCCACACCCACCTCCACCTCGCATACAGATCTGGGAGGCATGGTTTCCCCCTGCCCGTGAGAGTGCGTGAAGTGATGGAGAGTTGCCCCCTTCTGGCCTCCCTGCCCCAAAACAAGCCACCCATGGCCCCTTCCTGCTACCCACCAGGGGCCAACATCCACGCATTGTGGCCCCGGGCCCCAAGCCCCACACACTGCTCAGCTGAGCAGCAGCCCCAGCCCCAAGCCTACCCAACTCCCTCCCTCCTTCCCTATGGGGGCTTCAATTCTTCCTCCCCACCCCCACCCCTTCCCACTTACCTGCTGGAGCTGCTCTCCAGGCTGCCTGACTGTTCCCCCTGCCTGACTGCCCTCCTCCCACTCCATCCAGCCCCCTGCATGCTGGAACTCTGTCAGCCTGCAGAGGGCTCATTGCAAAACTGTAATATCCATGGGTTTCTCTGCTAAAATGAGAAATCCGTAGTTTCCCCTGGTAAAGGGGGAAATCTGTGTTTTACTCAATTTTCCTATGGGAACAGAAACTCCAGATCCCTGTTAATCAGGCAACACAGCTTGGGTTAATTGCCCTGGACAGCCACACCTCTTTGGGTCTCTGGCTGACAAGTTCTGCCCCAGCTAATTAACTGGCTAGCTTCTTGATTGGCTGCTGGGAGTGCCACCTACCCATATAGACCAAGCTGTAGCAACAGACTGCTAAGCTAACCAGCAGTTCTGACCCTGATCTGCTTTGGTAAGCCTCTTGATTTTTGACCCTGGTTTGGCTCTGCTCTTGGACTTTGGCTTAGGGATTGTCCCTTGGACTTGGTAACTCAGCATCTGATTCTTAGACAGTTACCCTGGCCTGTGTTTTGGACTGTCCCCCTGAATTTCCCTCCAGACAGTTATTTAGGTCCCAAATCCTGACTCGGCCCCTGCCTTCCCTCAGTGGCTTAACCATTAGGCCAGACTGCCTATGATCTAATTACTAAGGCCTTGATTTAGACTTATGTTAGTAAATGAGCCATTTAGTCCTGTAGTTTATTAATTGATCCTCCAAATGGCAACATATTAGTTAGAAATCAGAAATATATTTTGCAAATTTGTTTCTGTCTTAATTCCCTTCCACAATTAAGCTGGCATATGTATATGTACTGGATTTTTTGCCCTGGTCTTGCTTTCAGAATGACAGCATTGTTTTTGGAGGCATGTGCACATATCTCATGTAAAAGTATAATGTTATATCTGGTCACTGATCGTTAAAAATTCCATAGTTCCTAGACAGGGTGAAGTATTAACAACAAATTATATAACTTGAATGATAATTTTTTTTAAATCCAAACAACAGTCATGGAACTAATAAAATTTTTGCTAAATATCTCCAACTATTCATGCAGCTTATCATTGTACCTCATCTCCCTTTGACCATATTTGAGCTTTTCAGGCCAGGAAATATGATTCAGATTCTCCAGACTGGCAGTTGCTTTGCATTTCACCACTGGCCTAAGCTTGCCCTAAAGCCAGCATGTGCAATCCTGGAGAGATCAGCTCAGTGCAAGAACATCCTCTGGTTTGAGAAACTAGATGTAGCTCTTATGTCATTTCCACCTCTGCATTTGGTACAAAAGGGAAAAGGGACCTGGATAAAAGTAATGTATGGTATCACGACATCTCTACAGCTTCATTTTCAGCCCTATTCACAATTAGTTTTTAGACTGTTCACCAACTTGGTGTTATACACAAAGATAGCAGAATATGGAAGAGCAAAACTGACCTTTTAGCTACTTTTGCACCCTTCTACCCCTTTGTCTTGCCTGTATCCACCTTGGCAAATTACATTTTAAAAATAATTTGACCCCTTGGGTTCAATTCTAGCTTGAGTAAAATATGTTCACGCTATATAAATAGTGATGCTAATGTAGCTTTTGCATAGAACTGTGGTGTGACCATACTTGAATGATTGAGAACTGCCCCTGTCCTCACAGTTTGACAGAATGTAGAAATCCATGTCTGTGTCCATATGAGCAGGGGCATGTGTTTGCAGCAGCACAAATAGTAGTGCCACAATTTGTGTCGCTACTTTGTCCTGCAGTGCACACTCCTGCTTGTGTTGTTTGCAGTGGGACACATTGTTCCACTGCTTCATGTGCTGCAGGGTGGGAGGGCTGGCTGGGGCACAGGCAACCCCCATGCTGAGGCACACTGTACCCCAGCCAGGTGAGGAGTGGTACGTGGAGACAGGGGAGGAGGTAGCAGGCCTAGCAGACCCTAGCCAGCAGCTCCCCATCTGTTTCCCCACTTCCCAGCTTCTCAGGAATCCTGGTAGCAAATTTTGCCCCCAGTACTAAAAATCAGTAGTGCCACACATGGTTTCATATGCAACGTGTAGTTAATGGTGCCACAAAGAAGCTTGCGGCACCACAAACCACACATGCCTGCATGTCTAGATGTGGCCCATGAGTAAAATGTAGAGAAAACAATAGAAATTAAAGGAATTTGGGGAACATCATCTGAAAAGACTGGAAGAGATGCTAAAGGAGTTTGGTATGGATTAGGGTTTCTCAACTGGTGGTTGAGAATCCCAGTGGTGGGATGCAAATGTCCTCTAGGTGGGACAGGTCGCGGCAGCAAAACTGAAAGTGCCATGGAAGGACTTTTAGTTTCGTTTCTGTGTGCTTCGATTGGCTGCTGCCTGACCTCTACCACCCCACTCTTCGACTAGCCTCTGGGGGATGCCCCCCCCCCACTCGTCGACTGGTGGGACCAAGATCTTTTGACCGTATATAGGTGGGACATAAGGTGCAAAAGGTTGAGAACCACTGGTATATATGATAAGAAGTTGATAAGTGCCTCCAAGGTGCAATATACTGTATTTACTGGAATCTAAGATGAGGCTTTTTCCCCATTCAACACTGGCTGGGGGTGTGGGGAGAGCCCTTCATCCTAGATAAGAGAACAAGTTGTGGAGGCATAAGGGGGAAGCAGTTGTGGCTCCAACTCTAACACTGAGCCCACAGGCAGAGTTGGAGCCGCAGCTGGTGTCCCCTCTCTCCTTTCAGCCTCTACTCCCCTTACCTTTATTCCCTGCCACTGTTTACCTTCCCCTTGCAGCTCTGGCTCCTCGTGGAGCCCCACTCCAGCCTGGAGCAGGGAGCACAGAGCATGTGCTACCTCTGTCCTAAGCCTGACCACGCAGGAGCGGCAGTAGTGGCAGCTCTAGCCCTGGCTCTGGGCCAGGATTGAAGCTGCCTGCTCCACAGTGGCTGCTACATGGCTGGGTTAGAGCCAGAGGCAGCACCATGTTCCCTGCCCCAGGCCAAAGTGGGCCCCAGCAGGAGCCAGAGCTGCAAGGAGAACATAATCATAGATGGGCAGGAGGGGTGCAAAAGGCAGGCAGCTGAGGGGAGGGCCCTACAGGGCAGGCAGCAGAAGATGGAGCAAGTGGGGGGGGGGGCAGGTGCAAGGAGGAGGTCGGGCAGGCGGCAGGGTTTACAGGCACTGCAGGGACAGTAACGGGGCATGCAAGCACTGTGACAAAGGCAGGCAGGCAGCCAGGCAGGGGACATGACAAGGGACAGGGATCAGTCCACTTGACTCTGCCGCTGCCAGCCCCCCACCCCACTGCCCCTTGCCACTGCTCACCCCAGCTACAGCAATGGTGGTGGGGGGGGTAAGTATTTAAGAGAACTCTTCAAAAATTACATGACAGGAAAAAGTATAACAAATTTAATACATTTTCCATGGCTTGTATCTAAATATTGGGGGAATCGTCTTAAATTCAGAGTAATCTTGGATTCGGGTAAATGATAGACAATAGTTACTTCATTTATAAGGCCAGGTAGGCAATGGCTGGACAAGGAAAAATAGATGGGAACTAAGGAAGGAAAAGCTTAACTTAGGTACTTTACTAGGAAAGACTTTAACAATAAAATCTTCATTGCAGATATTAAAGACCAGATTAGATAAGACATTAGTTAAAGCCATCTATTGAGCAATTCTAGAAAATATGGGGAGTCAAATTTAAGTAACCTCTGTGACATTCTGGCCCAATATTCTTTATATCTCAGTAAACTCATCTTTACTTAGTGCTCTCACCTAGCCAGATTAGAGTTACCTGGGCCCCTGGCAGCCATTAAAACAATGGTACAATTGGGCTTGGAGGAATTTTATACCCCATCCCAAACACTGTGCCTCCTGTCATGCATGTCTGATACGGCAGGTGGTATGATATTTGGGATGGGGCATAAAATTCTTCGAGCACAGTCACACCACTGCCCAGCCGGTTTGAAGCCTTCCCTTCGTAGGTCTATAAACCATGCACCTGGCAACTCCGGTGGAGCTGCCAGGCACAGGGGTCCAGAGGTTCCTGGCAGATTTCCTGAAGGGCTTCCCAAACTGGAGACTTTAAAACCTGCACCCATGGTTTAAAGTCCCCAGCAGGGGAAGCCCTTTGTCTGCCCCTGCTGGGAGCCTCTGAGCCCCATGCCTGGCACTCTCAGCCCATAAGACAGCCCTGAGCCAGCTGGAGAACTGGGGCTGCTCCCGACCACTGCTGACAAGATTGTTGGTGCCAGTGGGCTGGAGACCAGGCTGTCCAGGGCTGACTCTAACAACCAACCAATCAATCAACTGATACAAGGTTCCATACAAACATTGTATGTGGAACATTTATTTTTGCCATTTGATCTTAAATTGGGTGCACATGGAACACCTTTGCCATGCATGGCGTGATTAATGTCACAAGTGTCATGTGTGCCAGGGATCCTAAAAATAGAAGCTATGTGGCCTGTAAATCCTCTGAGCAATTTAGTTCTTTATTTGTTTCAATTTTGAATTTGAATCGTTTTGCTCTTATACTCCTCTGCTGCTGCAGCATGCTGTGATATTCCTTTGAAGTACTGATCTTCCATTACAATGTTAATGCTTCATGAAGATGTTCCTTGTACGTTTATATTTTGCCTCACTTATTGTTCAATAGCAACCTTGTTCAGCAGGTAAAAGGAAGTGATAATATTCTTTTTTTTAATAATGTGATTTAAAAATTTGATAAAAAATTAACCTTTTCAGAGATAAAGAAATGCTTCAAGAATGGAGAAACCAAACTAAATTGATGAAGGAAAAAAAAGAAGCGCAGTTCAAGTTTTCGACTGAAAATGCAGACATGGTATGTAGTAGAACTTCCACAAGGAGGCTCACTAGATCAAGCAAGTAGCCCATTAACAAGCATCTCTGAAAGCTTTTCATTAGTGGATAATACATTTAGATAAAAGGCTTCTAAGGATGAGTATGTGACTAAATAGGAAAAAAAGAAGCTAAATGCTATCATTTCAAGAAGCCTAGACCCTACAGGCTGCATGTGAAATATCTGTATGGACCATAGCTCTTGCAAGAAGTGATGTGATCCCATGTGTGATGTAGGAGTTGCCAGATCTTGCAAACAGCTATTCGAAATCTGTAATGACTCCAATAATCAGGCTACTTGGAGGCGTTAAAACAGAAGTGCTTATGTTTAAACATGTTTTTCAAATTATTTAACGCCTCCAATCTGAGATGTTGCCTCTGCCAAACTGCAGTTGATGTAGGTTGGTTCTTATGGTTCTTCCAGGAGTCTGTAAATTCTGGCACTCAAGAAGGGAGCACCTCACTTTTAAAAGATTCTTAATGAGATAGAAAAGCTTGGTTTGTATCCTTATTTGCTTATCACAAAGAAGGGTTGAAAAATCTTCCCCAAAGCAGCAAATTATAAATTCTCCTTGCTTTAGATTAGAAATTCTTGTCTTGTTTAAATACGACATTGCAGGAAAGATGAAAGATGCACAGCCCTGTTTTCAAATGTAACAATGAAAACAGAACATGACAATGTCACAAACTGGAAGGATGCAAGATTCATTTAGGAAACTAAAATGCTGCAAGATGAATTCTTCAGCTTCAGTTTCATTATTGTTTGTTTCTACCTTAATTTTTCATCACTGAACCTATGGGGATAACATAGTTATATTGTGAGTTAAAATAAATTATGTCCTTCTAAATGGGGCATAACTGAAAAAAGAGATTTTTGACAAGTTTCTTGATTTTATTTATTTATTTTTATATCAATTTAGTAATGTTAAATGAACACCTGATAAAAAGGATATCTTTAAAGGGACTTCACAATACATTTCTTTGATATGCTCTGCAAGAATAGATAAACCCTGCATTTCTAAAGTACAGATAAAAGAGAACAAACATTTTTCAAGCCTTCTTTCTAAATTATAAAGAAGCAAAAAGAGACACAAACAGATTTAGTTTTAGTTCATTTCTCTGTGACTGTTTTCCTGCTACCCTATGTCACATCTAATTAGAATGCAAAATAAAAGTGTGTACAGTATTTAACACAAGGAGGCCCTACTCTAAATTAAACAAGAAAATAAGTTAACATTACTCCATTTATAACAACATATAGTTATAGTATAGTATTTTACTGGCAGTATTATTCCTTGTTCCATATGTCTTAAACCTTTTTTTTATTCTCACAGTTTCGTACTCTGGAAAATAAGCTATGTTATATTACTAAATATGTCAGTGCTTCCAGGAATACTTGCTATCGTTAAGCCAATAACATAGTATAATGCAGGGGTGAGCAATTATTTTGGCTGGAGGGCCGCTTAACAAGTTTTGGTGAGCTGTCAAGGGACATAAGGGTAGCCCCTCCCCTTAACAGGTGCCCCGCCTCCTGGCTGCCATTTTGGGACTAGAATTCCCACCCCTAATCCTTGACCTTTGCCACCAGAAGTCCCTCTCCTTGCCCCATAAGTACTCATTTGGGGGGGTGCCATCTTGAAACCAGAAAAAAACCCTAATCATATACTAAAAAAATCAAACATCTACAACTTATTTTATTTTTATTTTTTTAAATAGTTTTGTCCTAATTTATGTGTGTATGCATAGTGTATCTAGAGGTGATTGCATAAGAGCTCAAAATATAGTCTTACCCTTGTATGTTGTGTGGGGGGATGTGTGGGTATGGTGGCTGGGGGGGATGTGGAGGAGTGTGTTTGGGAGTATGGTAGGAGGGGTGGGACGGTGTGGGTACATGTGTGGGTATGATGGGGGCTGGGGTGTGTGGGGGGGAGGTCCATGGAGTCCCTGGAGTGTGCGAATCCCTGAAGCTGCACATGATGGCAGCGAGTGGGGCCAGCCCCACTCAGCCCCATAGCATGCAGCTCCCACGCTCCTGCAGTGAGCGCACCCCATGCTTCCACCCCCTTCCCCCCAGTGGGAGTCCCTGTCCCTGTGCTGGTGTGGCTCTCACCTGCATTTCCAGGCTCACAGGCAGGGAATCTGGAAACAGCCTCGGGGTGACCAGGCACAAGCTCTCCCAGGCAAAGGCTTCTTGTCTCTAGCTGGCTCAGGGCTGGGGCGGGTCAGGCCAAGCTGGGGGTTTGCTTAGCAACTGGATCTGCACATCCTGCAGGGATGTGCCAGCTTGAGAGGGGCAGCACAAGGCCAGAGCTTATGGAGGGGCCCCATGGACTGGATGGAATTGCCTGGTGGGCCGAATTCAGCCCACAGACTGTATTTTGCCCAGCCCTGGTGTAATCTCTGTCACTAGGCAGAATAATACAAGAGCAAATTTAAAATCAGGCGCTGTCTCCATCCTTTCATTTTGCTGAAAACAGTTCCACTTTTAAGGAAGAAGGTTACTATTGTAAACAGGCAGAGCAGATATCCGACCTCTATAAATAGTTTCTGATTCAAGAAATGGTAAGTGTACATAATATTTTAGATGGTTGTTGAATTGTTTAATGTTCCTTTATACAAGTGAAAATTCTTGGCTGAAAGCAATTGTAAGTGTGACACTGCTCTATGTGAAACTGGTTAAGGCCATATTCCTCCACAAATTGAAAAAAAAAAAATGTCATCCCTGATGTAGGACCAAAGCCATTAAAATTGCAATGGTAGATCTTCAGGATAATCCCCTCTTTCTTAAGTGAATCTGAGAGCACAGAAGATAGGCAGTTCATAAGTGTCTCGCTTGCATGCTAACTAAGGGACAAGTGGCAAAATCCTCCCTCATCCACTGAAGTCATTGGATAAAAAACTGGAGTTTATCCAATGACCTCAGTAGGTCATATTCCCATTCTACTGCTCTACAGTTTCCAGCAGCAAAAGCAATTTCAAAATATCCGAAGTAGCAGGATCAGCATGCACAAACCAAGTAAGAATGAATACATATAACCACTAGGAGCAACAGTGGGTTAAATCCTACTGTTCATTCACATGGTATTTATGGGAATTCTGACTTAATCAATTGTGGACACTTAATTCAAGAATGTTCATCTTATCCATCAGAGAGTAGATGTAATGTGTTTTCCTCTCTACATGGGAATGTCTTTGTTTTAGCTAATCTTTAGGCTGGAGTTTTTTGTTGTTTTTTTTTTTAAGACTGTAGTTTTGTTTCAAAAATGGTTGAAAATTGACCATTGAGAATAACAAACACATTTATAAATAACAGTATATTTACTTGTCACAAGCAATTCCTGATTTGTCTTCCCCAAGCTGTATAAATACAAACAAAAACAGTTATCCAGTTCGTGAGCTCAGTTGCTGTATTCACTATTTTTTTCTATGTATAAGTGAATATTTTAAGCTCTAAATTTTGTTTTTAGGTAGACATAGTTGAATGTATATATAAAACACAAGAGGGCACTGTAGAATCATATATGCATGTTATGGTAATAGCAAGGCCTTTTGGTAATATCTTTTATTGGACCAGTGATATACTTCGGAGACAAGTTATCAGGCACAAGTGCCTTTCCTGAGTTCTGGGGGTGAAGTAGAAACAGCCTAAGCTAAATACTAAATAGAAAAATATTTTTTGTTTAGCTCCATTATGCAATTGAATACAGTTAGTTGTATCATATTCCCAGAAACATCACAACTTCAAAAACAGTCTAACCTTACCATAGTCATTGCAGTGACTTTACTAAGCTCCCTTGTTACACAATGATCAAGTAAATAGGGTCCATTAGTTCCATATCTAACATTTAACTTAAAAGTATGTAAATGGCTGTATGTAATATTTTTCCATACTTTTTATTTTGCCCATTTTTACTGGCAATCACATACTAGAGTGGAAGCAGTTTTACATTTATTGCATATTGTGAATTACGTACATATTTGCTAAATGAAAGTATGTGCTTTCTGCAAAAATTTCAAGTCAAGTCCTCACAAATAGCCACAAGTATTTCTGAGTACGTGAATCAGTTGCTTATACTTTATTTTATATTAGTGATCTAGATGTTCATAATGATTTATAATAAATGCTAGCATTTCAAGTGTAAGGAGGACAGTAGTTTCTTGAAGGAGCACAGTAAACACATTTTTTAAATTTTATAAAAGTTTTTATAAAATTTTCCTTCTTTCTCCCATGAAAAATCCCAATGATTTCCCTTGATGAAGAAATAATCATGTGAATAAAACAAATAAGATTTGGTCCCTACTTTTAGTCTTTTATTTCGCATTTAACGACCTGCTTATAAGCTTGAAACTGCGAGTGTGGTATTGATTTAGCTTGTTATTTCTGACAAATATTGATAAACACCTTTTTATCACGTGAAACCAACAGGAACCTGTCTTTGTAATCCTCTTTTGTTACCACCGTTAAATGATCCTTGCATAGTTCTAACATTTGCATTCTGGTGAGTTGACTTTTTGCAGAAACATGGAAATTAGACTCACTCATGAACAGTGATATTTAAAATAAAATTGTAATATTTAAAATAAAACTATGAACTAAACATTTTTACAATCAAGATTATACCAGTTCTGTTATAGGTCCAAATTATTCGTAGTCAGCTATAACACTTGTTAGGCCTTATTTCAAGCCTTCTTGTTCATATTTTTCTGAGGAAAGCTGTAGAACATTTCTATGCCTTAAAAATTGAACAAAAAACTGATATGTAGAAATAGATTATTCCCAGTCTTCCCAGGATTTAAAGATGGATGCCAGAACTTTTGCATTCCCTCATGAACCAGTGAACCCATTTTTTACTAGAGATGAGATCCTATTTAAGTGAAGATGGGTGATGTTTGTTTCCTTTCTAGTTATTTAAGATAAGGTCCAAGTCAGTGGATTTTTACAACGAAAAAATAGCTGAATTAACCAAGAACTACAGCTCTTGT